TCAAAAAGATCGACGAGTTGATGATTCAGAGCAGTGTTTGTAGATGTAGCGTAATAAATCCGAGTTTTAGCATCGATAAAGGACAATGGACGAAACAAGCTATATTAGGGCTCCCACTAAGTTTGTAACACACAGAAGGAAACGTCGTAGACCCTGCCAGTTTCTTCGTCCGTTTGTATGTATGTATGGGAACTTGACTCTCAGTTTTTGAGATATCGAAATGAAATAAAGCATTCCTCTTTTTATCGCCAAGAAGATGCTCATTTGTCGAAATGGAGCACTCTAGCATATAACTGTCATACAAACTGAAGAATCGGCATCAAATTGCTGTTAGGAATCTTTTATACTTGTGAAGGGTATTATAGCTTCGGTGTAGCCGAAGTTATATTTTTTTCTGGTTTTTCATAAAGTTTGTGCCAGAGTAGTAAATATTAAGTATTTTGTGGTTTTGTTATGTACTATGAAGATAGTTACATAAATTTGTATAAGGAGACATGGGACACTTGAGCAATGCCATCGAACTATCAAAACTATAAGGAGCGCTTTTGAATGCAAGCAATACTGTGTAGGGTTCGTTTTAGATGTTAGACAGACACTCGATAAAGTCCGAGATTCAGGGTTACTTTATAAAATAAAAACAGTACGGAAGGGCTAAGTTCTGGTGCAACCGAACATTTTATACACTCGAAACGTGCTAGAAATAAAGCCAGGGAAACATTTAAGGTGTGAAACGTCATCCAGAGGATCGGCATCTAAGAAATTTTATATATAATATATATATCTATATATATAAAAGAACGTCGTGTTAGTTACACCATTTATAATTCAAGAACGGCTGAACCGATTTGGTTGGAAATTGGTGGGGAGGTAGTTTAGAGGCAGGGTCAGGACATAGGATGCCGTTTATCTCTTTATGTTAGAATTCAATACAATTCATTAATTCAAAAGTTATGTTTAAATAATAATAAGCATTTGTTCAAAATTCATGTTTTTAGGAATCATTTGAATATATGCGTACAAATTTAAACAGATTCTTCCTCAAAACTAATGCAATTGCTAAGTATTTGGAATAGTAGGAAAGTAATGCAACCAAATACGCAGTGAAATAGATTATAAGTGGCTCAGTAATCAGTCATTGAGTATCTATTTTCCCAAAAGACTGAGGTCATAGCCTTTTCAGTCGACTTTTTCGTCTTTTCACGCCTGATAATCGCTTCATCATGTGCAGTCCACTAGAATGACTGTCGATTGGATTCCAATGGGAAATGATGGAGCTATGTTTCTATTACCGACGCATAAATTCGGTTTTGTTACGATTAAAGAGCACTCATACACTTCTCAGAATCAGTTATTCGTTGTGTTTGCTGGATTATGAACTTGCGAGGCAACCAAAGTGGCACAGAGCTTTCGATTCCTCGGTGCTAATTTCGCCTGTTTCCAGCTTAGCAAATATCTTTTCAACGACGGATTTCCCTGAGCCCAATTTCAACAGAATGCTTTATGATCAATTTTTTTGGAAACTAACACAAATTGCTTTACAAAATGCTATATCTCATTAAATAATAGTTATAATCCAACTAATCGAAATCATATAGATGGTAGTAGTAGTATTATCTATGTATGTATCAGCCACAGTGAAGAGTGAACGGGTCCTCTAGTATACTTTATATAACTCATACACTGGCCGACAAATTCGGCGTAAGATTTGTCAGAAAAACGAAAGTCATTATATATAGTATATGAGAGCTGAGTTTGTATTGATATTATCCATTAACTATTATCATTAAAGTACCTCGCATACATCCAGAAATGATATGGAGCAAAGTCATCCGGATATTCGAAAATCCTGGTATTAAATGCACTGTCATGATTAAAACATGTTCTCCCGATCTGATTGAGAGAACAAAAATATTGGCTGTTATATCCAGCAAAAAGTCACCTGGAAGTTCGAAAACCTTTATATTAAGTATATGGGGAATCAAGGAAGTATTGGCCCGATTCGTCTGATTTTCGACATACAGATATACCATTGTCAGAGAACGACTATCCTTGATTTTCAACTATATATCTCGTACATTGACTGATATTTTCGGTCGAAAGTCAATCACAGATACTGGGATGCACATATTCGGTACCTAGGGAACAGTTTTGGTTAGATTTGGATAATTTTCAGTCAAAACGTGTCATTCCGTAAGGAAAATATTACTGCAAAATTGTATTTGTACTTCTTGAGTACTGAACGAATCACGTGGAATTTAAAATTGTGCTATATGGAAAGTAGGCGTGGTTGTAGTCCAATTTCGATCATTTTCACACTATGATATAGGAATATAAGAAAAATGCTACGTACTAAATTTAGTCGAAACCGGTTTGGTCGGGTCCCGAGCTACGGGATTTCACCAAAAAGTGGGCGGTGCCCCGCCCATTGTTAAATTTTCACATCGGTCCTTATAAAACTTTCCCATACCAACTCGGAGATAAAAATTAATCTCTCTGGCGTAATTAGTTATTATTTATTGCGCTTTTAGCAGTTTTTAACAGTGCCGTTATATAGGGAGTGAGCGCGACTTTCTTCCAATTTCATTCATTTTCACACTATCCCTAGTAGTTTTTATAATATTCGAGCTTAACCAATTTGGTTATTGTAGCTTTAGTGATTTAGGAGTTATGTACATTAACCTAGTTAGAGATCGGGGCCACGGTCGCTTTTCTAAAATTTTTAACCAGAGGTGCCGCTTACTACCGTGATCGCTTGTGCAGAATTACAGTTTTATATCTTAATTCAGTGCTAAGTTAAGACACTTTATAGGTGTTTGGTTAATGTTCTTTAGTGGGCGTGGCAGTGGTCCGATTACGTCCATCTACCAACTCGTAATTTCTTTTTATAATAAGGAACCTGTATGCCAAGTTTCATCAAGATATCTCGATGTTACTCAAGTTACAGCTTACACGGACATACGGACGGACGGACAGACAGTTAACCGGATTTCAACTATTCTCGTCATCCTGACGATATATATGACCCTATATCTATCTCGTTTAGTGTTAGGTGATAGTAGAACCCGTTGGTGAACAAAACTACCAAACTGAGTAGCAACAGGTTGCAAGAGTTTGAAAATGTACCTGTTAGGCCCGCAATCACAACTTAGTCTTCAAGTCAATCCTTAAACCCTTATGTATGTATGCAGTGCATTTATAGGGGACGGTGAATACTTCCAACATGGAAATCCTAAATATATCAACCTAAGACTTTAAAAAGTACTGTAAGTGCACCTTGGTATATAAGTAACTTCGAAATTCGCAAATACTAAAATTCACCTTTTGTTACAGATGAAATCGAGGAGATATAGACTTTCTAATCATGAAAACTTACTGCCAATAAATCTATTGGTTAACAGTATGAATGTTATACACTTAAAAACAACTCACATTTTGTACCTGCCAAATAGATTTGAAGCAGATTTAAGAATACTTTTTTGCAAATTATGTTATTGAATAATACATAGGTGGTCTCAACGGAGTGCAATCAATCCCGTTATGATTCTTACATTTGTAAAATTGCTGATTGTCTTCAGATAGATTGCAAATAATATTTACTTGAGTTTAGCACATCTTTCTAATTAACTTTTCTTGTAATATTATATTCATTTCGCGATTCAATATTTTCTTGCCATCTAATGACAACGCCAGCTATTTTTAAATAACATTTTGTCCATCCGCCCATAAATTAAGTCACAAATATGCCAAAACGCTGTCAGAGCGCATCGCTTGCGTCAGTTATTTACACATTTTGTTATTGTGCTTGCGCCTTTTTGCTCATTTGCATCCGTCGGTGCACCCTTAGCACTTACTTTGTACACCAACATGCATACATACGTATATAAGTATGCGTGTGTGCTCCTGTTGCGACGCTGCCAGCGTGTCATTAAAGAATTTAACTACACTTTAAAGTGATTACGCCTAAAAATATGCAACATATACACACATAGACATGCGAACGCGCGCTCAAGTAAAAAATGGCAGGCAGGCATGAGCAGAAATGAGCGATAATAGGGCTGCCGTCAACGCTTGCAGCCGAATGCGGCGATGAAATGTAACAGCGACGGCTGCGAAAATAATTTTCACAAATGACAAGCAACAAGAGCATACTCATGTCGCGTGTGTATGTGTGTGTGTGTGTGTGTGGGAATGTGCAACAGCAGCAACTGCAAATGGCAGCACAGCCGACGGCGATGCGGCGCTGCGCGAAGCCACGTCTGACGTCGCCGCGAAGCGCCAGTAATGCGTCGCTTGGTGAGGCATTTGCAAATTTGACCTATTTCAGGTTTGGAATGATTTATTAAACGCCTTTGCTCGCACATATATACTTGTGCATGTACATACATATGTGTGGAGGGGGTGTCATATATATTTTTGACAGATTCTTATTGTCTTTTTTATGGCCGCACATTATGCACTTTTGCTCCTCGATTTGCGCTTGAAGGACGAAACGATGTTCAATATTATTCAAGTCATCGCAGTGTATGTGTCTGTATGCACGTGTTTGAATATTCTACATATGTGTGAGTGTGTGTGTCACTTGCATATGCATTTGACATCCATAAAGTATAGTTGTGCATAATGAATAGTTAATGTGTGGCATCCTTGCACACTCACACACATAGAAACGCCAGCAAACAGTATGCGCTGTGTGCGCACCCCTTTGCGTATTGCTGTTGTTGTTGTATGCCACCCCACCGCGCGCATATAATTAAGAACTTTACTTTGCCTTCATCACATATGTTATTGTTGTTGGTGTTGTTCGCTTTGAGGGTTTTTGTTTGGTTTGGCAACTTCTGCTGATTTACCCTGAACTATTTTGGCCCAAATGGCAGTGGAAATTTCATTTCATTTAATCTTTTCACACTCTCACACGCAAGAGCACTCGGTTCGAATGCGGCATTAATGGAAATTATGTAATTTTTTCATTTAATTTTAATTTTCTCTCCAATTTCAATCACCTCATTAACAGGCTCGAACATTTCATTTTATAACGTTCGCTATGACTTTTACGCGTTGTTGTTGTTGTTTTTTTTTGTTTCGTACACGCTCCAACGACCGTCAATCCGACACCATTAGCGCCACCACCGTCAGCCGTCGCGTTCCGATTACGAATTTCAACTTCAACGAAGTTGCAGACAAAAATTAATTTCACTTTTCACATTCGCTTTCGTACACCGCCGCCGCCGTCCCCTTTCGAGTCACCAGAACTGCTATTCACTTTCACGACCCGTCTCTCGTCTACTGTGGCTGCCTCTTTGACGCTCGTATGTGTGTGTCAGTTCGTTTGTCGGTATTAGTTGGTTGAACCAATTCACAGCGCGCAGCGCGTTAATCCGTTCTAGCACGACGACACGAGCTCTCGTACACAGCCACCAAACGAATGCCGATGAACCCAGTTGAGCGCTTGGCACAGGGCTCTGGGCTGTTTACCTCGAATCCTCGCAAATCTGATTACAGCATTTAATAAGAGAGAGTCTGCAGGTGTTTGCTTGTAAGTGTGGCCTGTAGCTGTCAGTGCATTAGATTGAGCGATTGCTGTGCGTGCTGAGAGCATGTTCATTTGTTGGATGCTGCGCAGTGCGGAACGTGTTGAGAATTACAGCTATTTTGTTGCGACATCTAGTTGTGATATTGGCGCAAAAGTAGTTGAACATTAAGCAAAAGTCAAAAAGTTTGCTGGTGTCTTTAAATTAAAGAATTACTAGAAATTAGAATGCTTAAATATAGCTGGCATATAAACTGACCGAACCAACTCAAGCCCTTATATGGAAATCATGCGGTTTTGGCAAGATATCGTTACGAAATGTAGCTTTTTTTATCGCTTGAATATCCGAACACATTATTCAGATAGCTGCATATAGCTGTCAATTAAAGTAAACGATCAAAATCAACCACTCCCAATATAGCTCAATATTGGGCAACGCAGGCTGATTTGACGTTGAACCTGGAAAAAATGGATCTGCCAGGCCACAAAGGCATCGAGACCAATGAAAAAATGGCCGAGATCGCCAAGAAAGGTGTGCGGCTAAAATCCGAGAATGTATTCATTATTGGCAAACCTATGAGTTTATACTACGGTCGTAGTAAAGAAAATCAAAGCCCGATGGAACGACCTATCTGGGTAAAAAACTGTAAAAGTTTGTGCAAAATGGTAGATCTGAAATACGCTATATTCTAATTGGCGCTGTATAAAAGAGACTGTAGGCACATGAGCTGAATATTAACTAATTACTGTCTGGTGGCGATACACACCCGCAAAATGGGGCTGACAGATCGAGAAGACTGCAGGAAATATCTAAAGCAAAGCACCAGGGAAACAATGGTCTTGAGCACGTTCCGCATTCGCAAAACTACGCCGTTAGCATCTGAGGTCCCCATAGAATGATACACTAGGGGAGATATCGATAGTGAGGTCGCAGACAGGTATTTCAAAGGATGACTAATCCTAATGGACCTAGGAACCGCACTTCATCTTATGCCACTAATTTGCCAACCAGATTAAGCTAACCTAACCATTGCCATTAACTATGCCACTAATGTCCTTTATCGAGGTTTTATCAAAGATTCGAGCTTTTTTGTTGAATATATTGTTTTTCGTAAATTGCGGTAAAGTTCAGTACTGATTACAATTTATATCCACTAGATCCACTATTACAAAATATTTAACAAGCTCTCTCACGGACTAATAAGACATTTCAGGCTCCTCTATGGCCCTTAAACTGCTCTATATGCTCAGTTTTGTCATGATTATAGCTGCCGCTCGCTGACAGCTTTACAGACAGTTCCCAGTGGACTGACACATGAGTGTCGTCAAATTTTCTACCGTAAAACTACCGAGGGTGATATAAGAATATATGCTGACATTCTTCAAAGCACTCTGAACACGTTGGACAATTCGGACTAATATCGTGTTGAGATCCATGCAGGTAGCTTCTACAGCACCAATGTCCACTTAGTACTTGGGTTAGGTGGAAATTCAGATTCCCATGTCGTCCACGAATGGATGTTCGATATCAGCCTGTGGGTCCACCGTCCTTTGAGTGAAGTTTGTCACCGCTGCTACCATATTGTTAAGCGTTTGAGCTCTTCTCTTTTGGCTCCAGAAGACCACTGATAACTTTTACACCACCTCGTATTTGTCACCCTGAATGTCGATGGGTATCATACTAACTATTACTTCAGCAGCATCGGCTGATATTGTTAATTAATACTTATGAGCAAGACTTCTGTCTTTTGCCAATTCTGAACTAATTGAGGAGAATCATTAGCGCAGATCGTTTATGCACTCATTGCATTTGCTCCGATGGTCATCCAGGTGTTTAGCCACTACGAACAGAATAAGGTCGTTTGCGTATACAATAAATTCGATGACTTTTGGGCTAAGGGGACATAGCAATCCGTTATACATTAGTCTCCATTGAAGGGGGTCATAATTTCTAGTTGCTAATTTCAAGCGGTTTCTTACTATGCTTTCGTACATAAATAGTGTACTTTGTATGGCAAAAAAAGAAGAGGAATTATCCATTTATTTTCTCCTCCATTGCCCAACCTTGGAAGACTGAGTTTGAAGCATCCGACCATTCATATGGCATTGGCAGCGGCAAGTTGGAACGATGAGCAGTGCGAGATATACGATGACATTGACATAGTTCAGCGAATTAAGAGACATCGGCTATGTTAGCTAGGTCATGTCGTCCGAATGAATGAAAACACTCCAACACTGAAAGTATTCGACTACCCACCAGAGGAAGCAGAGAAAGGGAAAGCCCTCCACTTCGCAGGAAAGGTCAGAAGGAGAAGAATCTGGCTATAATTGAAGTTTCCAATTGGCGCCAAACAACAAAAAGGAAGAACGACTGGGACGCTATTGTAAGCTCGGCTATAACCGCGTAAGAGGTATTTGCGCCAATGAAGAAGGAGATGGTACCTCAACGGACTGTGCAAGTGAGGGAGCCTATTATGATCAGCCATTTAACCCAATTTAGCCTAACGAAACTCAAATATTTTATAATATTCTAAATAACTGTTAATTTAACTTATTGGTTACTTGTCCTTTTGATATATGAACTTTATCGCGTAATTCTTTATGGGAAATATTGAATCATTAGCGTTTTAATGGTGTTTTATGACCTCTAATGTGTCCTGTTTGGCTGAACACTTTCTTATTGGTGTGTCTATACAGAGAAATGAGTGTCGGCATCGCCTAAAATGGGTTGTTTTTGACGTGAATGTCAATAATTTATTAGCGATAGTCTCACGATAACAAAATCTTAAGAAGCAATAACGGTGTATGCATATTAGATGTGGTAATGTTTGAGAAGCCTTCATAGGCATAAAATATACATAGGCGTTGATGTACATAAGTATCTAACATTATTTACTCGTTTGATTGCGACTCACATTTGCATTTCTGTTTATGTATATTTTTAACTCGAGTGTGAGTTTGCTGCGCATATTTTCACAAATGCAAATATTTGTTTGCTAATCAGTGAGAAAGCTCAAAAGTAAGCGGTGAGCGGCAATAAGTTTTCCCTACGCGTTATTATTATTGTTGACTGAAAAAATTGCGTTTCTCAAATATTTTTATTTATTCAAAGAAAATTATCCCCCTATTATAGGCTCCTGTTTACAATTTTGATAAGAATTGGTTTGAGTTACTGTTTGTATTGCGCAGGAAACGGAAATGCGATTTTGAGCAGTGTAAATAACAGCTGAAGGTGTGAGTCTAACGCAATCGAACGTATTTATTTAAATACAAATATAGTATTTACTTTTTCAGTTATTTCGACTTGATTAATGAACTTATGAGTGTAAAATGGGATGACGAAAGAGTGTAGGGGATTTTGATATTTATATCCGTTGTATTGGTTTCCGGTCGTTATTTATAACGCAATAGACGATTTTATTCTTCTATACTGGTGTAGACAGCAATTCGAGGTAAAAAGTGCAGCCAGATCCTTCTCCACCTGATCTCTCCAACGGTGTGAAGTCTTTTTCACCAGCGGTTACTGAATTGAATGCCTTTAAAGCTGGTAGAGTGTTCTCATAGATCCGTACAACATGGCCTAGTCATCGCAGCCGCTGTCTTTTGAACCGTGTGAATATCGTTGTATGTCACGTACAGCTCATCGTTTTATTAACCATAAATTCTCCATAAAACCGTTCTCTCGAAAACTCCTAAGGTCGACTCTTACATCTAGCTCTCTGTTAATTCCGCTATTTCTTACGCCAGATCCGCTACTCATGGGTGCGGTATAGATGTTGCTACAGCTATCATTGTTGCTCAAAGCGTTGGTTATATTGTTTCTCATAAATTTATCCATTATCTTCTGTTTTTTTTTACCAGCGCATCGTGAGAAGGGGGGCGGGCCGAAAGAGACAGGAACGGGTATACCCTCTGTGTCTATGCTTCTACTCCAGTCCAATGAAGCCTGTCCTTCGATTTACCGGTCCCGAAAAATACGGAGGGACTAGCGCCCGCCCGGAGCAACGCAGGCTACTAATCCTACGCCTAATGCACACTTCTTGATCAGAGCCCGAAGGGGCTGGTTACAGGCAAACAGCATGGCTAACACCTGGGCAGAGCAAGCTTACTTCACCCTCTTCACCCTAACAACGGAGATGTCGTTCTTAAGGTTTTGAGGGACTCCCAGTGCGCCACATTGTATACCGGCCAAGTTTAGTTCTTTTAACAGCGGCACTTAACCTGGTAAGCAGATGCTGACCAGGGAGCCACCTACTATGGTTCCGTCGCACCTGGATTTCTTTATTACTCATCACGCCTATGCGTGTTAAGGGGGACACATAGAGGCGGTGTAGGTTCGCCATAGTCAGAGCTTCAACGGATCTGCTAGCTTTTATATCCACCACTCCCGTCGCTCATCGGCGGGGGTTGCTTATTCATTTAAACTTATTTTGCAACTAACCTGCTGCTATAGCCCGTGCGGCTATCCGCGACCTACTGGGGGGAGCTTAGAGCGGAGCTATAAAGTTAATACAGGATGTATTACAGCTGTACACTAAGTACGTGGGACGCAAGCAGATTCTCGCGAAGCACATACTTCGGGAGCACATCCTTCGGGGTTCTCCTGTGTGTGGATTGGATAGAGCACAATTGACGCTCATGCTTTTATTCGACTATATGGTATTTTGCAAAGAAGCTGATCCAAGCACCTTACCAGTTTTTCGTCGCCATATGGAATAGCTCGATCGGTAACATATCGACCTCTACCGCTTTGCTAGAATAAAACATCTGTTCCATCGTCATCGATTTTATCTGCATTATATTGCCTTAATATTGCTATTTACTGTTTAGTTTGCAGATACTTTCGAAATTCATTTTAGTACAATACATTGACTTTTGAATTCTATTTCAAGGTTTAAAATGTTTAAATTGCCAGTTAAGTTCCATCAAATCAGAAAACAGTTTTAAATTTAAAATTAGATATTCTACAACACTTCTTAGTTAGGATTTCCGATAAAAGTGAAAGTATCGTGAACTGGGTATATTAAGTTTGGCACGAAGTTTGTAGCTGCCATAAGGAAACACACTTATATATATACACACAAAAATGACCAGCTTGCCGATTTAGCCACATCCTACTGTCTGTACATATATAAGCGTATCAGTTCCCAGCTTTTCAAATGTCGAAGTTGCTAATTTACTGGAACCACCGATATCAGACCACGGTACCGTATATCTGCCTTATAAGCTGATCGACCAAAATCAAGTAATCGCATGGGGAAAACTAAAAAATTGTCCAAAGTTACCCCAAAATCTCCTTACAAATTGTTCTGACTATATATATTTATATATTATAACGTAGCATATAGCTGACATTTAACTGATCGAAAATCAAGGCAAAGGTTTGCAAAACAACCTGTTTTTTTGTTACTTAATAATGATTCGACTTGAAGGTGGTTTATGTCAAACATTTTTCCTTAGAACAGCAAACAGCTACACCTGTGAGGTTTTTTTCCTGTGTTGTATTTCTTTGCTTGTTGCTCTCATACCTTATATCTCAACTTACTTTCATCTCTCTTTTAAAAAATGTTCTCAAGGTCTTCTGAATCGCGATATATGAATCTGTAGATCATAGCCATTTTTAAAATATAAATATGAAAAAATGGTCAATGGTTTTGAAGAATTTCTAACCTGCAAGAATCCATTTAGGTGTATTTATTCAACAACACTTTGTTCTTCAAAAATGTATTTTTCATCATACAGGAAAAAATCATGTATGTTCGAGGATTAAATAAATATGAGAATTGCTTCAGTACCTTTTCAATTTTATTACTCTTAAACCAACCAACAACATCAATGCAACAATCTTTTGTAATTTTATAACTAATAAATTTACTTATCTGAAGTAGTTTAAAGTCTGTGCCAAAACGAAGCAAAATTCTATATTGGTTTCAGCTTTCTCTGAAAAAATTTTTGTGTTGGGTGGGTTATATCGTGTAGTGGTAGTTTTGTTTTGTAGAAAGTGCTTTTACCTGCTTTTTTAAGAGTTGTCGAACATTATTTTTTAGTTTATTAAGTGAAGGTTTATGTATCCGAAATAGATTTGCTCTACACATACCATGTACATATCGAATCTAACGGGTTATTCAAGGGGAGGTACTTATTTCAATGACCTTTTTTGTCAGAACACGCGTGAGGCCTGTCAAGCTGTCATATTATTCTGTTCAGTATTATTAAGCATTTCATCATGGAAAGATTTACGTACGATGAATGTTTACAAATCATTCAACTTTATTAAGAAAAGTAAAGAATGTGCTTCAAGCGCTTCGTTCAAAGAAAAAGATCTTCATATCCATCCATCTTCCATATTGAGACCCAGGATTCATTATTAAATAATATTCGACCGAATAGATCACGTCCAGCACGCTGTGAAGAAAATATAGAAGCTTAGCTGAGAGAATACACGAAGACCGTGGATAGTCGATTCGGCGCAGTTCGCAGTAACTCGAACTGACGTATGTAGTGACTTGGCGCATTTTATGTCCAGATCTGAAATTGCAAGAACTGAAGATGCTCGGCCTTCCCAAACGACATCGCTACTTTCTATGGGCTCTTGAGAAGTTCCAAGAAGATCCAAAATTTTATTCAGTGATGAAGCCCATTTCAAGAGATTCAAGAGCTGCCATATCATCCAGAAAAAACAACGATCTGGTATAGTTGCTGAGCCGGTGGAAGGTAACTTTCGCGCCGTGATAACGGACTATTTGATGCCTGAAACTGAAGCTCGTGATCTTGGCGACACTTAGCTTCAACAGAATGGCGCCACTTCCCACACATCGCACGTATTTTTAGGGAACACTTCGGTGGAGCAGATAATTTCACATTTTGGGCCGGTCGATTTGCCACCAAGATGGTGTGAGATCACACGGTTAGACTTTTTCGTGTGGGGATATGTAGAGTCTAAAGTCTATGCGGACAATCTCGTTTCGATTCAGGCCTTGGAGAAAAACATTATGCGTGTCATTCACCAGTTAGGGATCGAAATGCTCTAATGAGTCATCGAAAACTTGACTTTACGGATGTTTAGTTTCTTGAAAAAAAAAGATATAATTCCAATAAATTAGTAATTACTAACCATTACATACCAACAACTTTGCTTTAACTACATTTTTCTTCTATTTGGCACAGGTTGTTAACGCTAGCTACAACTGATTTTTATCGTCTGTATGTATGTAAATACAAAATATTCGCAATTTTGCTGATAAATAATATTAATTCAAGCTTACTTCAGTATATGAATTTGTATATAATAATTAATTTCTTTTCGTTTATGTAAATATTGAATGTTATATAAATTAATATTATTAATCGCTACATTGGCTAATTATAATGTAATAATATAAAAGAAGCTCGTTGTTTACTTAATACTTGTTTTTAATTGCTCTCATTTCTGTTAACTATATAATTTTCCATTATGTATATATTATTTGTTTTTAGTAAATTGGCCAAAAATATTAAATTTTTCATTTGTTTGTTTAATAGACCTTTCTTACTAACTTTCCATATATCCATAAGCTTATTTTGTGTATGTATTTATATGCATTTATAGCTGAGGATTTCTTCTTTAACCGTGAGTGTTTGTAATATTGATTCCCTGCTGTCCTTTCCTGTGCCTTCATTCATCTTTCAAACATTGTTGTTCCTGTGGGATTGCTGTTTATTTTTTATCCCTTTACGGTTGACCACGTGAACTCTTTTTTGTACATTCCGTATGCCAGCCAATAGAGTAAATTGAAGAAAGCAAAAGACATTGGGAAAGCAACACGCGAGACCCGATCTATCAGAGAGACGCTGTTCACATAGCGGCTTCCTGTGAAAAAATTTTAAAATTGCTGTAAATAAATTTATAGTTTGTAAATATTTTGTTCTTTGAAACTCTTCTATAAAATTGTTGACTTGAACACTATAACTTTACTAAGCGCTCCATATATACTATTATCTGAGAGGCTCTAAAAGTTCTAGGTTTCGCTCTGCCAAACTCTTCCAAATTAAACTGGTATCAGTTCATTAATGCTCAATATAACAGCATCGAAAGACCTGTGCGACTTAAAAACCTTCTAATATTAGGTTGTCAAAAAAGTCTTGCGGTATTTTCGCTAGTTGGTACTGAGAGCGCGTAGTTCTAGTTTCATTCGTCGCATCGGGTCATGCTGTACCTTTTTGGAAAGCTCATTTCACGCGCTAACACGTGTTTGATTCATTGTTGTTTCTTTTAAGTCGTTCTTGAGTTATAGCGTCGCAAACATGGAGCAAAATAAAGAGAAAATACGTCATATTTTACAGTACAACTACGATAAAGGCAAAAATGCATCTCAAACCGCCAATAAAATTTGTGCAGCTTATGGACCCGATACAGTTTCCATTTCCACCGAACAACGATGGTTTGAACGTTTTCGTTCTGTGGTAGAGGTGATCGAAGATGTGCTACGCTCCGGAAGGCCTGTCGTCGAAAATTGCGATAAAATCGCTAAATTGGTCGAAAGAGACCGGCATAGTAGCAGCCGTAGCATCGGTCAAAAGCTGAGCATGAGTCATCAAAAAAAAATTTCATGAACAATTGAAAATTCACTAAAAATACCGCAAGACTTTTTTGGCAATCTAATATTTATATATTCTATTGTATATATGTTATAGAGATGTTCCCAGTACAGTATGAAGTCACCATATAATCAGTTTGAACTTATATTCTTAGCTCTTTTACACAGAGATCACATAAATAAATTCTCTAATAATAGCATAAATTGAGTGACAGTTTCCATAAGTTTATTCGATCTCTGGTGATACTACCCTAAATTTTAAACTATTTAAATTTATACTACTCACAATATTCTCTCTTGGAGCTTAAGTAGTATCATTACCTTTAGTAACCGCTGCAGCACGTTCTCTCTGCCGTCGAAATTTATCATCACCTATTAGACAAAGCCACATTTGTTTTCCCTTCGATATAACCGGTGGCTCCGTTTGTGTGGTACGTTCCATTGTAGAGGCGTGTGAGGACGGTGCTGGAAAAATTTGCGTGGGGTCCTAAGACCCCATAAAGAAAGTGAATTCTTCAGTAATAAAAATATAGAAATGGAGGCTTTTGGAGCATTTCATGATAACAGTAAAATATTGCTCATATAGTCTTCAATCGCGGTAAAGGTTCCAGCGCTTTCTACGCATTGTAAATTTTTGCATAATTTTTAAAGAAATTGTAAGCTGAAACTTACGTTGAAAATGGGGGAAATCATCGCATTGCGTTTACAAAAGTTGCCAGCCAAGGGATGTGGAATTTCATACGCGGACTCATTACTGTGTTTTATCGAACTACTTTGAGCCTCCTCTTCGCCTTCATCGTCATCAGCCGCGCCTTCGTCAATGTCCTCCCATTCATCCTCGCTTATGGGTATCTCGCCACTGCCCACCTTTAAGGTTATAGAAATGAAACAATATGAAAAATGCTCGGTGCAGCGGTGCTATAAAGTTCCTGACCTTTGTAAAATAGTGCACACCCGCAAACTCGAGTAGCGTCGCAATACAATACAGAAAACTCATCAAGAGAAACCAATCCAAGGCAGTGGCATATTTCACTTTCGGCAAATCGGTGCGCGAATCTAAACTAATCGTGGAGAGTGTGAGCACAGCGGTCACGCAGAGGCCAACGCGATCGCTGGTCGCTTCACGGTGTATCCAGAAGGAGACCCATGACAGCACGACGATCAATATGCAGGGCACATATACCTATAATTTATCACTGATTTTAATGAAATGCTTTTGTTTTCTATTTTTAAAAAATAGCTGCCTGTATGAGAAAATAGCCTGTGTGACGTTTGAGGTTGAAGGCCACATGCAGCACAGAGAAGTCTCCCTCTCGCCTGGTGTAGGTGAAGTTACGCTGTTTCATGCTTATCAAATCGAATTGATTCAATGTCATGCCGGGCACAAATGACACTGCGTCATCCTCACCCTTCCACTCGTATACTAGTTGGCGATTTGTATAGCCGTCTAGTTTTTATAAAAAGTTAGTTTAGTTTTGTTTTCCGCAAAGATTTTAATATTTTACTTACAGCTACCGATTATTAACGGACAGGATTGTAGATCCATCGGAAAGTTTTTAAGTTCCATAGGGCATGTCGCTTTTATTGTTAGTCTGTAAATGGAGAATATACATATATTTTCAATAATTTGTCATACGTTTTTTTTTTTTTTTTGGAGAAGAAAAAAACTCTACGTCTTCTAACTTATTTATCATTGGAAGAAGTTGAAGCTTTTCCGCCTCTTCAATTTACTGTATAACCTGTTTTTCATAAGTTCAATAAGCTTGATAAATGCAGGCTCTGATTATACAAGATCCCAGGGTTGAGCGCTCGATTTGGGGCACGACAGGTAAAAATACCATCCCGCTGAAAAGAAGGGGAGGATGGAGACATGTGTACAAGTTCATGCAAGTGAGGAACGTTCGCTAAGTGCCTTACACTTGGGAATAGTCAGAAACGATTATTTTGTATATGGCCCAAGCAGTTCACATCTTCTGGTTTTAGATCAAGCATCGTCCGGGTAGCTAAAAAAAAAAAACAACCATTTGAAGGTGAGCTAAAGTGAGAAGGCGACTAATCAATCTTCAGGGAAGGACGATGAGGAGTGCCGTGTCGAAGAGAAGAGAGAATAAACTGACAACATTGCAACGTTACAAACGACCACAACACTTGCGGGATGGGATAGATACTGAAAGTTGAAGAGGGAGGCGAGACGCATTTGCTGACAAAAAAGAGGGAGGGACTGAAATGCATGTGTACGAAGAGCTTGACAAGCTGGCCGGCAGGGATAATGCTCGAAATCTCCACGAAAAGGTTCGGCTACTAACAGGTTTCAAGACCGAAGCATACCCGTATAGAATTCCTAAAAAGGTCAAGTGACTGATGCGCTGAGCAAATTAAAATTATGGAGGTAACACTTCTCTGAATAGCAGTGAAAGTATAACGCAAGGAGATGGTGAAGAACAACAAAGCGACGGGGGCGATTGTAATTTAAATGTGTTTGCCTAATCCACAAAAAGGGAGATCTCGCAGTCTGCGCTAACTACAGTGACCTAAGTCTCCACAAGATCACATAACCTTCCGGATCTCTCCACTAATTTCTTGTTCTCAGCACGGTTTTCGTAAAGGGAAATCTACAATAACTAATTTGCTTGAATTTGTATCACATGTATCAACKGGTTTTAGGGAGAATAAGAATACTGATGTTATATACACAGATTTTAGTAAAGCTTTTGATCCCATTCAATTCTTCTGAATAAACTTGATCTTCTTGGTTTTCAACCAATATTTCTAAAATGGGYTGCTTCTTACCTTGGTAATAGAATTCAACAAGTCATATTTAACGATACTCTTTCCGACATAATCAATGTTCCTTCAGGAGTTCCTCAAGGTAGCCATCTTGGTCCAATTCTGCTCTTGTTATTTATTAATGACATATCATCTGTTGTAAGTTTTCAAAAGTTTTATTATATGCTGACGATGTAAAACTTTTTAAAACGTACATATACTTCATACAAACAGACTTAAACAATCTAGTTTCTTGGTGTGATAGAAATGATATGCCATTGAATCTTAAAAAATGTAAAACGAGAGTCCGTTCAAAAACAATTTTTACTTTTTGCCTTAATTAATTTGCATTGGGATCCCAGTGTAAATCTTCCCCCTTACACTAATCGTTTAAAACTTATAAATCCCCCGACACTCGCTAGTCGTCAGTCTGTAGCCCATCTCTTTTATCTGATATTAATTTTAACGTTCCCGTTCGCTCTACCAGGCAGTTTAGACCCTTACTTTTAAAATTTATATGTCACGATTTCAATTCTCATTCCAGCACATTTGATCTAACAGATTCACTCTTTACCATTAAAAAATTATTTTATCTACTCTTAACATAACATTTCAAAATTATAAACCTAACAACGCTATTAGTCTTGTCTATTTAACAAAAAGCATATCGGAAACCAGTACAGTTGATTCACTGAGGGTACCCAATGGTTTCAACACAACAATGAAACATGATATCAAGATATTAGCCATTTGAGTCACTCACAATGGTAAAACTGATATAAATTAAGCGAAACATTGGTAGCATTTAAGACCGATACCAATTTAATGAGGTATCAGTTTATTCTCTCGTACGAAATGAATTCGGTTTTGCTTTTATATATAATTTTTGGACAAAAGAGCAGAAACGAGTACAGAAATAGCGAATCGAAGACGGGCATTCTTGACGTTAGAATTCAACGTAACTGATACTCAGACCAATGTATATACATAGGTACGACAGTGACAAGTGGTCGAATAATCTAACCCCACTTGAGACTAAAATCCTGCAAGGTCACCAATTTAGTCGGCTGACAAAGGTATTACAAAGAAATTTTTCCTTCCGGGTAATTAGAGTACTACGTGCTAGCGTCTAAATATGTACATAATATATAAGGTGTGTTCCAAAGTAAACAGGACTTAAAAAAAAAAAACAGAACAGAACATATGGGTTTTTCTTCTAAATCAATTTATTTTATTCAAGATAGTCTCTTACTGCTTCAATACAGCTTTTTGCACGGTCCAAAAGCATGTCGAACGAATGTTTTAGCTCGTTGGTCGGTATGGCCGCCAGTATGCGGGGCAAACCTTTTAAATGGCCTCTACGTCTACAAAACGCTTCCTTTCATGGGAAAATGCATTTTTCCGAAAAGGAAGAACGCACGATGCCATAACAGGGGAATACGGAAAGTGGTTAATGGTTAAAATGTGATTTTTGGTCAAATAATCGGTCACAAGGGTCGATCGATGAGAGCAATTTTTGGTCGTCAGTCAATTTGTACGAAGCAAACCGTGCACACACCTTTCGTAAGCCCAAATGTTCGCTAAAAATGCGATAAATCGATGTTTTGAAGATGTTCAATTTATTTCCATGAATTTCAATGACGATTTCGGCTGATTTTTGATGAATACCGGCGATCACGGAGTTTGATTGGCCTACATGTTGATCCTCAGGATCACTTCGAAAATTTTGAAACCACTCGAGCATTCTGCTACGCAATAGGCGATCATCGTCATAAACTTGTTTCATCAATTGAAACGTTTTTTTTCCAGAAACGGTGTGCATGATATCTCAAGTTCTACTCAACCGTTTCCCATGAAATTTTACACAGAACTGTCTTTTTCTTTCATCCGAACCACAGAAAAAACTGGTAAAATACGAAACTTTTTTTTCAAACTTCAACCATTTTGTAAAAAAGTTTTTTAACATTAATTTTCAAAAACGTTTCGTATTGCGATAACTACACTTCTACTCTTCACGAATTTCGTATAAATTTTCATTTTAGGTCACGGAAGGGATTTATATCCTGCACACCAGGACAGGCCATTGTTTCATCAGTCTCTACTGCGCCGACCTGCAGTTTTTTTAAATTAAATTTTTTTCCTATATTATTTATGTTTTATATTCTTAGAATATCAATAAAAAGCATGTAAGAATTGATAGTCAAAGTAATTTTTGATTTTTTTCTATCGCGTCAAAAAGAATACCTAAACTTTGGGCTTCTAAACCAGAATTTCCTCTTAAAAGCAATAACTTCACCTCCAATCGATGAAATGTCACTGGACAATCGATAAAGATAGCAGATTTTAACGCACCAGTTGACATGTAGTATATAAGGCGCCACCAGGGGCACTAGATCCAAAAAGTCCTGTTTACTTTGGAAAGCACCTTTATTTAGAGGCTAACACGTAGTACTCTAATTACCCGGAAGGAACTTCCATAACTCCATCTCTTGAATTGGCAATAGGAGTCAAATTTCATACAGATTTCCTTCCGTAACTCGAAGCTCCGCTAACCCGAAAGTCGTTTGGGGATTATGGTGATTCGAGTTAAGGAAGCAGAACTGAATATAGAATTGTTTGGATTCCTAAGCTCTGGTTAACTGCTTGCATCTTAAGGTATTTCTCTGGCTTTGATTTTTGCAAATTGCAAGAGTATAAAAAATGTTTATAAATTTTTTATTTATAAATTTTTGTATATAAATTTTTCTTTTTTTTTATAAATTTTTTGGTTGTTTATAAATTTTTTGCTTGCTTTTCAGTTAATTTTGCTTTAATACGAACCTCATCGAGTATAGAATGCCGCCATTTTGATCCAGGCGCAATAACTTATTGGGCACAGTGATTGTGTGTATATGCGAGTGCTTTCCGTTGAAGAAGTATGTGTCCGGACGCCAAATTTTGTCCAGCATCTAAGAACACAAATTAAGTAAAAATAAATTGAATTTCTTTAACTCTTACAATTAGTTTTAAGTACCTTAATGCTGAGTGATAGACTTTGTATCGGGCCCTGGAAGCTCAAACGCTTGTCATGCCAATACTGCCGAAAGTAGCAATCCATCGAATAGTCCATGTCCAGCTCCGAGACAGGACCCATGCTGCGTATGAGAATGTTGGTCCGCACCACCGTTGGAATGCCTGCACGAGATTTCACATTTTACTTAAATCAAGTCGCTGTGTATTACCGTTAAGACGCTGCAAAGATACACTCACACACAAACACACGCTGAACAGCACTCACCTTGTCCGTGCGTTGGCAGCTGTGATTGCTCGTAGCTTTTAAGCAGATTCTCCAAAATGATGGAAATGTTGCGACTCAACATATCCGCAGATGCGGTGCGTTTCCGCATGTTGCTTGCTGTTGTCACATTGGCGTTCACATTTGCTGTTGTTGTGGTTGTTGTTGTCGGCGGCCACGTCGTGCTCATGTTGCCGCTGCTTGCTGTTGCGTGCGGCGTGTCGTCCGTGGCTAGATCCGACATGCGCTTAAAACGCGGCGCGCTGTCGGCGGCGCTGTGGACGTCGAGTTCGGGCAGCGCGCGGAAGGATTCGTAGATGCGTGCCACTTGCATTGCGCGCGTGATGGTGGGCAGTTGTTGGTGTTGTTGTTTGTCATTTTTTTGTTGCTCATATCGTTCGTTCTGCACGCGCTCAGTGTCGAAAGTGGCGGCAGTTGTCGATGCGTCCTTCGGTGCCGTTTCTGCGGACGCTTTTAAGCTAAAAGCCACATTGGGCGGCAAAAGGCTACACGGATTGCAAGCGAAATGCGTTCGGAAGAAATTTATATTTTAACAACTTGTTTGAGCTATTTTAAAAGCGCAGATTTACCTCATCATCGGTGTCAACGCAATGTCGATGCTGCTATTTGTGACGTAAGCGTGCTGATCATAAGTGGTTGTAGAGACTGTCACTGTGTCCCCTTTTCGCCTACTTGTGGTAGTTGTTGTTGTTGCTGTTGCACGTAGGTCTTCAGGCATTTCATTTTTATAATGTACACTTTGCTGGTCATTGCCTTCCTTAAGTGCCATTAGCTTATCTATGCTTGTAGTATCATTTGCTGATGTTATTGTTGTTGCTAGTGTGAATTGATTTGCATTGGCAGTGGGTACACCATGGCAGTGCAGTTTCATTAGCCCCAGACACATAACCAGGCTGAAAACGAGAAAATTTGGTGGGCTTAGTATACCAGACGTTCACTCCAAATTATGTATTTGATCCACTCTTCTCCTGTTTCAAAACCTTTTCTTACAATCTAAAGCAAAGTGGATAATTTTCGCTTACTACTCAACCTAATGTGGACTATAGAACTCATCGTGATTAGGTAACATGGGATCCACGTTTAAACAACTAGTTCCTCACTTGGGCCGAAAAATGTATTTATGTAGTCTAAAGTACTTTCAAATTATTTCTCCTAACCCGTTTGCTAACATTTAGCCAATTCCTGTCGGAAGCTCCTTAATCTACACCCAACGGAAGTTGCTGCATCATGAGCTGCTTGAAAGTTGTTTAATGTCGACAAGTGGCATGCACGTAGAACGTAAACTACTTGTAAATGAGGCTGCCACAATGAAGAAATCACATATCTGACAAGAAGACAGGACCCGCAGGAAAATTTTAGTACCATGAAAAAGTACTAAATAAACTTGGTTGGTTGTACTTCCGGGTGGTAAACAAAGATTTATCCAGCACCTCAATGGAACTGGTAATTTTTTTCACTTCAGCCGCCCAATGTCTCTTATAAAGGAACATTGTTAGCCGTTGAATATATACCGCCTGATTCAGCTGAAGGCTGGACATTCGCAAATATTAAGTTGCAGCTGCTCATCAGCCTCCGCGTAGGCTCTGAATCAACTTTTTCAATTTTCGGAAGCAGGAATCTTAAGTGTAGGTGACCTGTGATGAACTCTCCCATAAACTCTAACCCAAAGTAACTTAGTGGTAAGATCTGACTCCGAGACATGAGGTGTTCCTCTAATATTCATTGCGTCACACAACGCTCGAAGAAAAGATCTGGAGCAGCTTAGAGGAATCTTACCCCCAGCAGCCACAGAGCAAGCTAACTTGTCAGCCTTCCATTCCTATGTGACTGAGCATCCATACTTAGTATTAGCGCTTTCAGATCATATTATCTCGCTCATTCTCATTTCTCATCTTGGCACTTGACTCCATTTAATATTTTCTCTATCACTCCTTTTTTTCATTTTTTTTTGTTGTTATCTCACTCTTCTCTACCTAACTGTCTACGACATTATTGCTAGCGACGAAATAAAACCAACCTCAGTATCACATTACATTACGACATACCCATCATAGAATTTTCTTGCAGGCCATGACCATGCAGAGTCGATTGCAACACATTCATATAGGCACATTCACATGTAACCGTAATGACCATCTAATGACACTTAGAATGTGCACGGGTCACATGGGAGTCATAAAACTGCTTAACCACTCTGCTCTCTATGCTTTTACAATTTCTCTTTGTTGTGTTTTCTTTACCTATTTGTCATTTACACATTCTTTGGTTTTGGTCACTTTGCCATTACTATGTTTTAGTGCAAAAAGAAAGAAAAATGTGTAGTATGTGATAAAGCACGGACTCTGTCACTCTTCTTTAGGCGTCTATTTGAATTACGCTCAGAGAATAGGAGGACGCAAAAATTACAAAATTAAACTATAACAATAGACTTTAATATGTACATATATTTAATGCAAAGTCAAAAACTCAAAGAGAAAACATTTGTGTTTGAGTTGCATTAAAATAATTGTCTGTAATTCGCCGTTAGTAAATGTTTCAGGACTTTGTTGAAGCAGTAATTGAACTGCTTTTTGGGGTTATAATATTCAAGATAATTTTTTGACCAATTCAAAATTTTTACTGGTCAAAATAATATACTTTAAAAAATTGCTGGACAGATGTTAAATGTTTACATAAATATTTTCACTAGTTAGAATTTAGTTGGAACACTTCAGAAGTGTGTTTTTTACTATTGATAAAAATATCGATTATTCGTGTGTGGAATCGTTGGGAATATTGGAAAAAGCTTACGGTGATTCAGTTTTATTAGAAAAGCAAGGGGTACGGGGTACAAAGCCTTCAACGATAGACGAATCGTTGCAGACATGCCTATTTTTCAAAAGAAGAACACTAGCCGACACAAAAAAAAAAAAAAAAAAAAAAAAAAAAAAAAAAAAAAAAAAAAAAAAAAAAAAAAAAAAAAAAAAAAAAAAAAAAAAAACACACACACACTGAACCGCTCAAAAATTAAGCTGATGCTCATTGTTCTTTCGATATTTGTGATTTGCTGCATCCTGAATTTTTTCCGGATAGATAGACGGTTAATACAGAGTTCTATTTGGCCGTTTGCCTGAGAACATCCGCCGAAAACGGAGGGATTGTGGATAAGAGCAATTCATGGATTTTATACGATGATTGTGCACCCATCTCACCATTCTCGAGCCGCGATTGTGACCGAATTTAAAGCTAAATTTGGCTCCGTGTGATTTTTCCTTTTCCCCGAATTGAAATTGCCATGGAACCCATTTCCAGTCGATCGAAGAGACGTGCACCGTGGGTGGATGTGTTGGCCACCGCCGATGTAGTGGATGGGTGGATCGAAGTTTTCCGAAGGGAAACCTCAACGGTGGACTTCCAACTCTCGGAAATTAGGGCACCCTGTAGACGCTTATTTAATCAGGCCTGCAGGAATGGGTTATCTGATGATTGTGTCCTGTAGTGGGCGCTAAGCGGTGAAGAGACACTCCTTGAAGCTCACTTCCTAGTAACACGTCCTCTGCAGAGGTATCTCTCGGAGCGTTGCGTGCTGACTACACGACCTTTGTCAACCTTTCTGGATGAGCGTCACTTGAATTGGGCGATCAAATCCTTTAAACCGTTCAAGTCCCCGGGACCCGATGGCATCGTACCAGCGCAGCTGAATCAGGCTGTTAAGATATCAGTGTGAACAGGGGAACCCCTCAGTGGGGGTTCATTCTCCTCTTCTATGGATCATAGTCGTTAACGACCTTTTCAAAGAGCTAGAGGATCTTGGCTCTCAGGTGATAGCCTATGCAGACGATGTAGCACTTATGATGAAAGGAAAGCTTCTAAGCACTGTGTATGAGTTGACGCAGGAATATCTCAGCGTTGTGACAAATGGGCGGTCGGAAGTGAACTCGCCATGAATCCAAATAAAACAGAAATGGTTTTATTCGCCTGCAACCGGCGGATGCAGTGAAGTATTTAGGGCTCATCCTGGATAAGAAGCTTTCGTGGAAGCCAAATATCGAGGAGAGAGCCAAAAAGGCATCGATTTCCCTATACTGATGTATAGGCAAGAGGTGGGGCCCCTAACCGAAGGTGGTTCTCTGGCTCTATGACACCATAGTCAAACCCATAATGTTCTATGGAGTCTTTATGTGGTGGAGGGCTTTACAGGATAGCACACTTGCAAAGAAGCTTGAGAGCGTTCAATGAGCTGCGCTCATTAGCATGTGCGGCAAAGGTGGCTATTAGGCACAGGGAATCTGTGTTTCTACAGTGGCCTGTATCTGTACACTCGGATATCCTCACGAGCTTTGACTGCATACCGAGTCATCATCATGGAGTCGCCATATCAAACTCCGGTTGCTCCTTCTCTGCTCATATACCGAGGACGGAGGTTTGGGAGGGAAGAAGTCGTTGGAGGAGAGTCGCAGTAAGCTTCTTTACGGATGGCTCAAAGATTAGGGGGAAGGTTGGTGGAGGAGTCTCCTGTCGGGAGCTCTCCATCAAATCCAGCTTCAGACTTCCCGACTATTGCAGTGTCTTTCAGGCTGATGTTGCAGCCATCAAAGTAGCAGCAGATTTGCTGCTCAAGAGAGTGTCTACTAGGGTGGGTCGATTCCGGACTTTTTTCGATTCGGGATTTCTATTAGTGCAGAAAAGTTGCCTTAGTACTTCCTGATTCCAATGCAACTTTTTGTTTTGAGATCGGGTTGCATCTTCAACCCCAACACCGGACTTGATATTTCGGAAATTCGCCTAAAATCATGAAATTGTCTACCTAGCACCTGAAATACGCATCTCATGGCAAAATGTATARAAYAAAAGTTATTTGTCACGTCATTTGCTACCGAAATGGACGAACCGTTCCCGAGATACGAGCGAAGATGCGGCGAAGTTACTATTTACTCAGATAGCAGAGCGGCGATACTAGCCTTGAACTCAGTCACAATGCGTTCAGGGTTGATCGAAGAGTGTTTGACGTCCCTGTCTCTGGCGGCGAGAGCTTTTATTATAAGACTTCCACAGCGGAATCGCAGGTAACTGCAAAGCTGATAAGGTAGCAAGGAAAGGCACCCTAGAATCGCTATCGGTAGAATGGGAATGGGTAAGTGTTCTGCATCCTCTTGTGTTCTACAACAGGATAGCTGGGATTCGAGGCTGTAACGCCTTTTGGCCCTAGATAGATCGCAGGAGATCTAGTGATCTCTTTGCCCTCTGTAAGGCTTGCCTCTCATTAGAGATGGGGCTCTTGACGGGGAACTGGCCTATTGGCATACAAGCTGTAAGACTGGGAATATTACCGGACGCTTCAGAAGCTACTTGGAAGAAGATACGGTAGAAACTAGCCAGAACTTCCTTCTTGACTGCCTGCTTTTGGGAGATCAAGACTTAGACACCTGGGGGAAGATACCTTAAACATCTCACAGATCTGGCGGGCATAGAAATTAAGCGCCTCTGCAAATTTGTATTGGCTACTAAGCGGTTTGCCGATCCCTAAGTCCGAAAACGGGAGTTCGATTTTCAACGGCTTCACAAAGGACTACATCTATTAGTCCACGTGCGATCTCTGATCAGCCACCTAACCTAATTGCTCACGTTAAGTCTAAAAGTGAGGACAAATCTATTGTTCTCTTTTTGAGTAAAAGCCATTGCTAAGTCCAGAGGAGGCTAAATGAAATACGGCGAGACCCCGGAGATGGCATCAAATGTAGTTGTACTGTTGTCAAACCCATATTTCTAAAAACACATGTTGAAAAGAGGTTGCATGAGCGCAGAGAAACAGCAACCGTATTTGGAGCAAAGTAATCTTTACAGATGAGTCAACTTTTGCACTGTTCAAACCTTGAGTCGTGTTTGGCCCTAAAAACCGAAAAAACATTTATATGTACAAGGAAATATTAAGCAGCCC